TTGAAAAATGTTTTATTTCTCTCTATATATAAAATAGGCTGGGGGGTTTTCCACCAAATTAAATTATATATTGGTTGTAGAATGAAAATAGTGTGTGCCCTCCAAACAATACTATATTTCACATATATATACTGTGTAAGGTTTTTTACTATCAGACCATTAAATGTGACAAAAGATTGGGTTGACTGTTTTGACTCCATTTTGTAAAAAAACACCCTAATATTTACTGTACTAAGAGGCTAAACTAAACCACTTTGAAAACTTCATGCAAAATAAATGGTTGATTTAATTATATCAGATACAGTAGTTCAGGATGATACACTGTCATGTCAGTGTCCATTTCACAAGCTGCAGTTGTGGACAGGACAAACTAGTATAGAAATATCCAGTGTTTGTCTTGTGTGACTGGTACACAAGAGACTTCCATTTTAAATTAGCATTACCTGCTAAAATGTTATGTAGACTCCAAGATCCACACACTTCCCTATAGACGTACAGACAGAAACTTCTGAAATACCACCAACTTCTATGAAACTTTAAACTGAATCATTACAGAGTAAAGAATTGAATGCAGGTTTCGGAAGACAGTTCAACTACAACATCAATCAAGTGACTTTTAAAGAGATTTGGCTCCTTTGAGGTATTTCTTCCTAAAGATCCAATAAAATAGAAAGGGAAGCTAATCATTCACAGCTCAGGGAATTTGGGGAACCATTTCGTTCTACCTTGTTGGTTTTTGCACCATTCCTGCACAACGGCTCTTAAAGATGTGTTGCTAGGCAACGAAACATACGCCCAAAGCAGCTAAGTCATCCGGGCAGTCAACAAGTGTTGTCGCATAATTTTGTCAGTAATGAGAACATTTACACATGAAAATCTAATTACAAGTAATAACCCATGAAGTAATTATCAGAAAACATTAGAATTTATTTTGATTGTTTGTCTCATGACCATAAACAATTTATATTAACTTTAGCCTCTAGAGTGTCCAAAAGATTTTTTGAAGTGATCAAGGGCCTTAACTCTGGCATATATTATCGGAAATCGTTGAAAAGATTAGGATTCTGTGTCTCATGACCTTAACCACTGTATCATAAGTTAAAATTCAATCGGATATTAACTTTAGTCTCAATGGCTTCTACAAGATTTTTCAAAGAGATCAAGGGCTATAACTGTAGCAGCAATTATCGAAATAGTTGAAAATCAATAGGATTCTTCGTATCTTGACCTTAAACAGTGCGTATTAATTTAAAGTCAATCTGATATTAACTTTACCCTTTAGAGTGTCCACAAGATATTTCAAAGCGATCAATGGCCATAACTCTAGCAGTAATTATCATTGAAAATCAATAGGCTTATGCATCTCATAACCTAAAACACTGTGTATAAATTTAACGTCAATCGGATATTAACTTTAGCCTCTAGAGCGTAAACAAGATATTTCAAAAAGATCAGGGGCCATAACTCTGGTAGTAACTATCGAAAATCGTTGAAAATCCACAAGCAATTGCGAACGCCAGACCACCGGACGGGGGCAACGACAATATACAACAACATTTCAATGTGGGCGTATAAAAAGGAAAATCTCTTTAAAAAATAACACTAATCTGAGGCTAAGTATTATGCTTAAATAAAGCCTATCATCTTCTTAGTACAAGGGATCCATATTTCTGTGTAGAAAGTTGAAAAAAACCCACACTATTTCTGCTAAAACCCAAGAAATTATTTCATCTTCACTTCACTCATGTCATATTGTTATGGTGGAAATGGAAATGAAATGAAATGAAATGGGGTTTAATGTCCTACTACAACTGGGCTAATGAAGATGGGATATGGTGGAAATAGTCTTCTGATCTTAGAGAACAGAAATGAAATGAAATGAGGCTTAACATCCGTCTGTTCTGCTCTGACAGGTCTACAGAACAGGCAAATAAAACTCTAACTAAATGGAGTTGATAATTGAGAATATTAAAGAGATAACATTTGTTTCTTGTCTTTACTATTTACCAAAAAGTAAAAAGAGGTTTTAGACAATACTAAGCCGCAGCTGAGTGTTATCTTTGAAAGAGATCTGACAACTTTTTCAATGGAAATTATTGGAAATAGATTTAAACTAGCTTAAAAATAATTCTGTACCTCTGTGTAACACCAATTACAATTTATCAACATGCACACAATAAATGTTTGATAAGAAGAGAGAAATGCTAATTAGCTTGATATGCTGACAAGAAACAACCAGATTTGATTTAAGAGATATCATTTTATTATTTAATCAGTTATTGCCCACAGCAAGCATTTCACTCCATTCAAACCTTTCCTTAATATGCTATAGAAATGATGAATTTAATGATAGACTAAATTGGTATTTCGTGCACATGCATAATTTTAAAGAATAATCCATAGAATTCGCTGTGAATACATGTAATGTATTCGCATGATTATGATCTATAATATACTTAAAAGCTTTCAAAAATCATATTAGTAACTAACTAAATAGTTTCTCAATAGTCATTAATTCAACAAAATAACTTCTATTAAAGCTATATTCCCCTGATAAAAATATATCTTAATAGGGTTGACGCCAGTTGCTGCGAGTTGCAGAAAATTAAACATGTGCAAGTGATTGCAACTAGTTACTTTGAGTTGTAAAAGGCACACAGGTCAACCTCTTTCAGTTGCATTCAGTTGCTCCCAATTGCTGAAAGCCAGTTACTTTCAATTGTAAGGTCGACACAAGCCTCTCTTTAATCTTTATAGCAAAGGCACAACAAATCGCAGAGTTTACATATATCTAAGTAATGTCTACTGTTTTAATATAAAGCCTGTTATTATGTAATTAAACACATCTGAGAATTAAACCAGCGGCTGCCAGGCAGGATACGCCCACATTTTACAACATGTGATTAGAGAACAAGCTAAAAAAAAAACAAACGCGATTTTTTGTACAATCAGGGGCAAAAATCCAGAAAGTTATGGCCTGAAATGTGCAAATATTAAGTGAGTAATGGTGATATATTCACACGTTTTTTTAAATCGGATAAAAATTGTGACCTCTACAGGCACCACAAGCTAAAAACCGTGATTTTTTGTTCAATCAAGGGCCATAATTCAGGAAGTTACGATCCGATATGCGCAAATATCGACAGGAACCAATATCTTTGGGTTATAAACATGTATATCAAGTTTCATCGAAATCAGATCAAAATTGTGACCTCTAGAGGGTCCACAACCATTTTGTCCAGCAGTTTTGGCCCGATTTTCATGAAATTCGAAGTCAACAAACATTACGATGTAACGGTGATATATTCGAACGTTTTTTTAAATCGAATAATAATTGTGACCTCTAGAGGGACCACAAGCTAAAAACGCGATTTTTCATACAACCAGAGGCCATAATTCAGGAAGTTACGATCTGATATGTGCGAATATTGAAAGGAACCGAGATCTTTGGGTTATAAACTTGCATTTTAAGTTTCATCAAAATCGGATCAAAATTGTGACCTCTAGAGGGTCCACAACTTGCGTACTAGGGGCGGCCATTTTGTCTGGCAATTTTTGGTCCGATTTTCATGAAACTCAACCTCAGAAAAAATGACGTTGTAACTGTGATATATTCGAACGTTTTTTTTAAATCGGATAATAATTGTGACCTCTAGAGGGACGACAAGCTAAAAACGCGATTTTTCGTAAAATCAGGGGCCATAATTCGGCAATTTTGGTCCGATTTTCATGAAACTCAACCTCAGAAAAAATGACGTTGTAACTGTGATATATTCAAACGTTTTTTTTAAATCGGATAATAATTGTGACCTCTAGAGCGACCACAAGCTAAAAACGCGATTTTTCATAAAATCAGGGGCCATAATTCGGGAAGTTACAATTCGATATATGCACTAAAATAGAAAGGAACCAAGATATTTGGGTTATAAACATGCATTTCAAATTTCATCAAAATCAGATGACAATTGTGACCTCCAAAGGCTCCACAACCCTGATACGCAATATTTTGACACTATTTGCAAACGAGGGGCTGCCATTTTGTCCGTGAGTTTCGGTCTGATTTTTTCGAAATTCAAGCTCAACCATCCTTAGGGTGTAACGGTGATATATTCACACATTTTTTTTTAAATCGGATAAAAATTGTGACCTCTATGGGGTCCACAAGCTAAAAACACGATTTTTCGTACAATCAGGGGCCATTATTCAGGAAGTCATGGTCCGATATGCGCGAATATCAAAAGGAACCGAGATCTGTGGGTTATAAACATGCATTTCAAGTTTCATCAAAATCAGATGAAAATTGTGAATATCGAAAGGAACCGAGATCTGTGGGTTATAAACATACATTTCAAGTTTAAACCAAATCGGATAAAAATTGTGACCTCTACACAGTGTTCACAAGCTAAAAACGTGATTTTTCGTACAATCAGGGGCCATAATCCATGAAGTTACAGTCCAATACATGCCAATATCGAAAGGAACCGAGATCTTGGGGAGATAAACCTATATTTCAAGTTTCGTTGAAATCGGATAAGAATTGTGACCTGTAGAGTGTTCACAAACAATTGTGGACGGACGGGGGGATGACAATATACGTCCACATGAAAATCTGGGCGTATAAAAAACCTTCATTAAGATTGGCCTGGTCTGTACATATTATTATTAATATATTTGTCTAAATGGCAATGTGAAATCATTAGTTGTATGGCCTTAAACTATAATTTAATTCTAATAACAACAGATTAGGAAAAAGGTCTAACATACCGTGGAAATATAGCTTTAAACTTTAAATGATGCACCCAATCTATCAACTAAGTTCCATGCATTAAGTAAATAAGACCCATGATATTGTTGGAGTATAACTGTTAACTTTAAATGCACCCAATCTATCAACTAAATAAGATGTAATATATTGTGGGACTATATCAACTAATTTTCATGCAGTAAGTATTATATGTCTGGAATTGGTTGACAACAAACATAACATTAACAACACTAACCTTATATATTGATACAATCAGTAATTCTGGAAGACAATATTCAACCAACATTAATATTTCAATAAAACAGGGAACATTAGAGGTCAGTTACAAAATGCAGTTACTATTAACCAGTTTCAATAATAAACCACATTGTTTTATAAACATACAATGTCAGACATCCGGTTTCAAAAAAAGAATCAGAAACTGAATGACATCAAATAATATTTTTTCTAGAACACGGAACAAGACAAGCCTATGAAATTTAAAAATAGATACTTCTAACAAAAATAAATTTAGTTTACAAGTTTTCTATCTGTTTTATTTACATTGAAGTTAGGGATGGTCATTAAACTTGCATGTCAAAGTGCACCGTAACATTTTACTCTTCACTCACAGTTACACTGCCAGTTAGAAAACATGATAATTTTCTATATTGCACAATTTATTAGCAAAAACAACCCAGGATATCACATCACACTGTAGCGGAAAAATGGTAAATACACCATGCAGTGTGCTATCAATGAAATTTTGCCTGTACAGCAAATTCAAACTGCCGAAGGATCATTTATGTGGACGACAATCTATGAGACAACCAGTGGGTTTTCGTTGCACGGTTTCCATCCTGCCTAGTTATTGAGCCAGGACCAATTACAGAGCTACTGAGATTCTCTGAAAAGAGGTACTGGCTTTGTCACAATAACCCTTGCCCCTTACTTTTTTTTTTTTAAAGTTATTTTTAGAGCCGGCAATAGAATTGGTAAATTCATAATGTACCAATCTTTTGTGACCATCAATTCAATGATGCATCCGAAAAGTTTGGTTTTAAACACTGCATCATTTACAGACGATATAACCAAGTCAGCACCACCTAAGTGTTTTGATAATCCTCTTTCTAATTTGATTGAATCTATGTCTGGAGATAATATGGTTGATATTTTGGTTTTGATTTCTAAATTAAAGGTGAAATAATCAATTTGAGTAAGCTTATATTTTGGTGTGGACTAGCTGTGAACGGAGTGAACGATTATTTTAAATAAATATATTTGACGTTCAGCAATTTGCAAGGCAACTAAAACTAATAGTTAAATTAGACTTTGAAAAAATTCATTCTGTTGCCAGGATATCAGAAAAATGTATACCAAATGTGACGAAAGTGATTAGTACGCATAATTAGGTGATTAGAGTGGACAGTGAAAAATATGTCTGCTTTTGTTTCTGTTCTATTTATAATAAATCAATACAATTATCTCTCAAAGTAAACAAGAAGATTCCGTCATTAATATCTCAAGCCCTTAGTTGGACATGTTTCAGAAGATACAGCGGTAGAAAATCTCTGTATTATTGTTATCAACAACCAATACTAATAGTATACATTATACGATGTATGTAGTAAATATTATCTGGCAAAGCAATTATGCTACCTGGTTATACTTATATAGTCACATACTGGACATCAACTTAGTTCAATTACAAACTACAATTATTACACTATTAACGTCTAAAAAGACTGAAAAACAGTTCTAAGTTCTATTCTGTTCTAGATGTATGAATGAAACACGTTAAAAAAACAAAATTTTATAGATTTTTATATATTGGACATCTTGTATGTGCTTTGGAATAACTGCCTACAAAAATAAAGTATTATAATACATGTAGATTGATGTGTGTACAAAGTTTCAAAACAATATATTGAACGGTTTGGGGGATATGCTCCATACTAATAATTGTATACCAAAAATTAATTTCCATTGAAACATGAAAATTATCAAAATTGAGCAACAGACAGGAAACAAAACCAGGACAGACCAACAGACAGAGCCCAGTTCACTACCCCTCTCTTTAACTTCAACCGGCATGGTATAAGTATAATTAAAGAGAATACTATTCAATAAATCACTTCATTAGACTTGTCTCTTCCTATGACATAAAATACATAAAACTTGGCAGATCAATACAACAAGTACAACATAACAATGATGAGTCTTACTACACGGTTACAAAATGATAATCCATTTTATCTATAATTATTTTAAGCTTTTCTCTTCTTATTCACTATGGTGATGAGTCGACGGCGACTGATCTCTTGCTGAGAATATCCCAGGTATGAATCCCAGAGTCGACTGAGGAACATATTAGGATTTTTCCCCTTATTAAAGGTGCATTTGGTGCAAAAGCTGCCTATTGCAGGTCGTTCTTTGGCCTCAAATGTTATATAAATTATCAATTAAGACATTTATTCATATGACAAGCTCATAATCAACCTCTCTAAATGACTAAGAACTGTGTAAACTTCAACAGAGTTCATACACATTTAGCAAAAAACAAATCATTCAAATAATCATACAATTTACCTGAACTATTTCCATTGAAAGTTTACAGGGCCCTTATTCACGAAAACTTAAACTAAGTTAAAACCAAAATTTTAAGAAATACTGCAACTTCATTGGATATATGCAAATTGATTTTACTGGTCAACCAATCGAATTGCAGTATTTCTTAAAATTTCAATTGTATCTTAGTTTAAGTTTTCGTGAATAAGGGCCCTGTTTATATTGAAAAATTGGATTCCTAGCTGGACTATATTACAGTGTTCTGTTTTTAATATGTTGTTCCGTTCTGTTTTGTTTTTGATATGTTATTCTGTTTTTAATGTTCTTCTATTTTGTTTTTAATATGTTCTGTTAAGTTTTTTATATGTTGTTCTGTTTTCTTGAACAGTATTGCTGGATATTTCCTATTAGACCCTACTGAATTTATGATAATATAAAATCTAATTGAGTAATTTAGACATATTTTTATAAGGATTGTAGTCCTACTTGTCAATGAAATATTGGTTTATTGATAAAAAGGCAGTTAAGAATCTACAGACTGAAGAACACAAGCTATGTAAATGCCTGCAATTACATCTTGAAGCCTATAATATTTTGTTTAAAAAACCATTCTAGCTGGAGGATATAGACAGACATCAGCATAATTTGACATTTCATTTCTTTCAACAACATGGGTAAAAAAATTACTGTGAATGATTTATTGTTATTAGAATGATATCTATATTTAGAAATATAGATTGGAGAATAATTGGCATAAAAAACTGATTACCTAGGCTATTTTCAACATGATAATAAAATTCATTGAATTTTGAAGAAAAAACTTAAAGCCTTGATGTGCCAGATGGCCAATAATTGTTTTCCTTATTTAAACTTTACAAAAATATGGACTTAAAGGTTTTCTTTAGATAGTAATGTAAAGCAATAAAACAAAACACATAAACTAAAAGCCATCTCATGCTCAATATTTCTTGAAAGAATTGAAAAAAAAGTGTTGGCTAATAATCTTAAAGAAAAGCAAGGTGCTGACCTGAAATTAATAGAAATTAAAGTAGCTAAGTCTCTAACTCAATATCATCCAAAATCTTCAACATTCAAAACACGATTTATTTGTCAAATTAAATCAACATTCATGTTGTGATCTTATCAGGAAAAGACGGGCTTTTGATATCCAATATTTAAGACAAAATAAACATTTTACTATTGGTACATGAATCGTGTACAATAATGCGCTTTAGCCCCAGTTGTATCAAGAGACTCGAGGGACAAGGCTAGACACATTGCACCAATTCAAACGGCGTATGTAGACTGGAATAACAAGACTGCTGGCTTATTTCGCCGAACATAACTGATTTGAAATTGGAGTAAAAACGGAAACCATTGAATGTAAATCAGTTTATATACATTCATATTACAGTATTATATGCGTTGCGACCCACTTTTGTCAATTTCTAGGTCCCAAATGTTAGCGATTTAGCTCCTTTAATGTAAACTTTAGATGTCTTTAACTTAATGATTGACCAATATAATCATTTTTGGACCAGTATTCATTTTAGCAAGACTGCTTTCTTATGTGTACGGTTAGAAAGTCTATATTAGCTTTAGTCTGGAAATGGTGCCTTCAATTATTCTTTCATAATAAGGTGTCCCAGTAACAGTAGGATTTTATATGTAGCTTCGCCACACCTTCCAATTCAATAGAATGTAATTAATTTTACAACAATCACTTTTGGACTCTTCAAAAAATATAAAACAAAATAACTAAAACCACCACAAATATATGGGATACAATTACACAAATGTTGTGCTACATATATATGTAACAGTCAGTGATTGCATTTCATATAAATTCTTTATTGTGCTCAATCGCTAAATGCACTCAAGGATTACAAACAGGGCTTGGGCCATTACATTGCCAATATAATTAATTACAATTTACATTACCATTACTTTTTAAATTTAATCCTTACAATTATTTTCTCATTTTAAGCAATGCAATTCATTATCATTACCCACACTGAAACTAATTGATTACCATTATCCATTACTTTATGACTATATAAATAAAAAAACATTTTTCACAGACATTAAAAAGACAAACTTATTTTTCTGCCATGAAGTTTAGCGCCTACAAAATCAAATGCAAAATAATCCTTGATTCACTATACATGTAGATATTTCTGTATGAATTCTTATTTCTATAAATTATAACATCACAGCAAATGCAAATTTTCAATGAGGGGCAGTGGTGACAAAACCTGTTGTTTTAACTGTATGATTTTAAAAAATGAATCGAAAGTATAGTTAATTTACAACATTTTCTTTTAAATAATTTTATAAAATTCTTAAACAATCAGTATGGCTCTAAAACATGAACAAATCACTTGTTTAAAGTCATGTTGTTTGGTAATTAATCAATCCAAATAGTTTATCTATTGTATAACTGTGAAATTATTCAACATGACTTTAAAACATGAACAATTCAATCAAACTTTCATGCCGTTTTGTAAGTTTTGTCTCATGAAACGGAAAATCATCACCCCTTCATTTAGTAAAATGATGATTTTCCATTTCACCAAAATGGAAATTCCGTTTGAAACATTGTGAATGTTTTTTTGCCGTTTCATGAGACAAAACTTACAAAACGACATGACTTAAAATAAGTGATTTGTTAGCTGTACATATCGGTATTGAAAAATAAAATTAATTTCTCTGAGTGAGCAAAAATGCACAATAAGCACACCCACCCATCTAACACACTACCTAGTGTAATTGTGATCCTGTGTTTATATAGATGCAAATGATGATCAGCGGCTTTAAATTTTATATGGGTAAGGTTTTCTGGATACTTAACTGCAAGTTATAACACTTACGTTAACCATCTTAAAGTAATTATATCACTGATTTCAATTCACATAATTTTATATTTCAAAATCAAAAAATAAGTTAAAAATTTGTACTCACTATTTCTTCTGAAGTAGTAATATCTGTCATGTTTCTGGTGTATCCATCTAGAAAATCATATTTCATTTCTTTCAAAAAATAATTTGTATTTCTCAGACTCCGTTAATATCACGTTTAACATCTGCAAAAAAACCCACAAATTAAATAAAACATTGTATTTCCGTGAGCAACCCCATTATCAGCAAAAACATGAAGATTATCAGTCAACATTTGAACAAGACATTAAAAATATTCTGAGGAATTAAAAATTTTAAAATATATCACATCTATCTGGCGAAACTTATGATCAATTCTCCAATGAATTCCTAAAATCATGTATTTTATCTGGTGAACAGTTATTCTTGTCATGAAAAACAAAATGTATAACATTTGCTGAATATGTAAATTCAGTTATTATGTGAATATATAGATTAGGCTATTCACATATCCAGGAATGTTTCCTAAAATAGATATAGGCATAGTGACTAAATCAACATAGACCGACATGGCTAATAAAATAGTTTAATATAATGTAATTCAGTCCTTCACTTTCTAAGATTTATTTTTATCAGAAAAGCACAGACAGTAAATACTGTACCACTCTTTCTCACTACGTGGAATATTAGCAAAACAGAATAATTTTCAATAGGTTACAAACATTAGCAGAACACAGATTGTATGAGAGACAATCACTGGTTTTATTATACAAGCACAATGTTCAGACAAGTATCCTCTAAGTCTTATCATTTAATCAAGCACAATGATAAGAGAAAGAGAGAGTGGGAGGAAACTGGAGGACCCGGAGAAAACCCACAGGGTTGGACAAACAACCCTACTCCTTGTCACATACAACCGGGGAATCGAAACCATGCCAGTTACATGTATCTCAATGACAGACCTAATGATACAGCGAGCACACACTAACCATTCGACCATCCCCCCTCCCCCCAAACAATTATGAGAGAATATTTGTCAAAACTTGGGCTTGTATATAATACATACCAGTTTACAAAACCTAGCTCGCTTGCAACCATTTTTTCGAGAAGGCTTTTTATTTTAAACTGGTTCATCTTGGCCATCTGAATAGGTTGGCTTAAAAAGTTACATTCTTTGGAAAATGGCGGCAACATGCAATACCAGTGTTATCGAAAGCATACAAGAACCGTATAAACAATATGATTCTACCCATACGTAGTTAACTCCAACCTCGACCAAAGAGGTCAAAATAGTTAGACTTTTTTGGCTTATAGTACATGTAAACGCAACACGATGCTGTCTTAAAAATCATGGCGACTTGAACTGGTTTAAAAATAAGCGTCTGAACCACAATTTCAAACAAAACGGGACCATTCTCAATAAGATATATACAATTTCATACAAAACAGGACAATTCTCAATAGGATACAAAACACTAAACCATTCAGTTAAAAAACTCATCAAGTTTAACCTATGCCAAGTTTTGCATCATCCCAACTCAGTTTTTTTATTTATTCACCTTCAGAGAATGCACTGAACAACATGAGGGTTATTGTACTTTGTGTGTCATAACAATGCTTGTTAACATGGTATATTTTGCAACGATGTGACAGACCTTTGATCTACTGCAAATATTAATACAGTCTGCTGTTTATTTTTTTATTTTCCTCCATGTTATGTCAGGCCATTCTGAACTTTAATCAAAAAATTTTGACAACACTTCATACTTTGTTATGAGTGGTAGGAATTAATTAGTTTTTTCATTATGATTTTTGATCATATAAACCAAATTGTTTCAGTATCTGGAAGATCTCTTTACATGTTTAAAGGAACAGTCCCAGATATCACAAGACACCAAATTATTATCCTTTAAATTTCAGCAAATGTAGGTAAACTGTCTTCTAGACAACTACAATTTGATCTCTTTTCATGCCATTTCTGTACCTTAGATAATCAAGAATTTCCAAACTGGCAACAGCTCAAGCTCTCACTGTGACTGTCACAGATCGTGTAAGGAGTGACCTAAATGATCAAGGTATAAGGTTGCCTGTGAAATGTTACAAGGAATTATTCATTAAAGGGGAATTATGTAAAATAAGATAAAGAGCTGACAGTTCTCGCTATAATAGTTAAAAAATAGATAATGAATAGGGAATATTTTGAAAATTTCAGTCAAATTACTTCACGATACAATTCCAGTGTAGCCTCGGTTGTCATTGCTATTGTTGTTACGATAATAAACAATATCATGATTATCTATTTTTACATTAAATCATCAACCGCAAATCATATTTAAATCTATTGAAAATCTAGACTATCCGATGGCATTGAGAGTTGATTATGGTCTTGGCAAGTTTATTAATGTCTATAAAGACCTGCAATAGGCAGATTTAGCCTATTGTTCTGCTACTATACTAGGCTAATGAAGCGGGCATATGCCATACAGTGTGCTATGAGGGAAATCTTGCCTGGGCAGCTGCACTATAGCCTACTCTTATATCGAATTCCAACTGCCAAGGGATCTTTTACGTGCACGCCAATGTATACAAGGGGCCTTGGTTTTTCATCCCATCCGAACGACTAGAGAGCTGTGCTTGTCAGGCTATCCGTCCTGCACCACTGACAAGGAGAAACCATGTCAGAAAAAGCAGATGAACTTTCTTCGCCTATACAGGGATGACAACGAAACAATTACAAAATTTAAATTTCCAACCCACCTGTGCCGACGTACATGTAGTACGAAAATGTTGACATACACAATGTACTTCCGTTCATGATTCAATATTAAATAACTGACATTTAATTGATCATTTTCTACCCAAGGTGTCGTTCAACCCACCCGCACCTTCAGTTCCGCAGGTTATTCGTATGGACGCAAGTGTTATTTAAAATAATGAACAAAAGATCCACATCATAAACATACCACAATGATATTTTTATCAAGATTAAAACAGATTACTGTCTAAAGTCTAAAGTAAAACTTCATTTTGTTATTCAAAAGACAAACAATGTTTTACATGATCTAATGTACCTGTGACCTTCAAATTTAACCCTTGTGGACACCTGTACCAATCAGAGACAATATATGACATGTGCATTATAGTGCAGTTGAAGGTTATTGCTCTTTCATTTTAAAGATGATCTTTTTATAATAAATTATTTTCTTCTTATTTCTTAAGATTAACCATGTGATTCAGTTATTAAAGTTGTCTTTTTTTTTCTTTCTTCTTTCTTTTTTTTTTTAAGACAATGTTACTTATAAAAGAACATTTTATCTTCAACAACATTAATTGTTCAATTAAACAACCTCTACATACAATTACTGCTCTCAAATTATAATTATAATCAACAAATATAATTATTTCATTTACGTCCTGCCCAGGGCCTCCACTTCAAAATTTTCCCAACCGGTCATTTTTCTCACGTAGAAAGTGGTGCTATTTTTAGCACGCCTGCCTCAATTAAAGACTAATTTTAGTTATTAACTAATACTTAGTCAAAACATCTTGTGTAAGCACTATCTGGTGCATCTCATACTTTCAACAAGGGCATAATGCAGTGGTTCTCAACCTTTTTTTGCGAACGGCACACCTTAGAACACATGAACAAATAGCGGTACACCTGGCTAAATATATATGAAAAATATTAGAATTTTGCAAAATAAAAACATGGCTAGTTATAGACGGCATACAGCCGCACACACAGACTAGTCATAGACACATAGAATGACTCAAACTAAATAAAGAAAAACACAGCTATGAACTTGCCAGTAGACACCAGTGAATACTCAATTGGGATCACATGGTTTTCCGCATTTTCTTCGTGTTCTGTTCAAAATTTCGCAGTACACTGGTTAAGAATCACTGGCATAATGACTGGGTTTTATTGAAGTTTGTTCAAAAATGCATTTTTCTCAATGGCTACAAAACCAACTGACTTTGAATAAACTTATAATATTATAATTTATGTAACTCTGCAGCCTTTAGAACATAAATATTTGCCATTATTCTGAAAATAAATCACAATTTTCTACAACAAAGTATGTAACCTGGGATTCAAAGGATTGTCACCATGTTGTCAATTAAATTTATGAGCAATACTATCTCATATAATGAAATGAAAAGTATATGAACTACTTACATGTACAGCCCAGACTTAAATTCTTGACCAAAGTAGATAAGATTTGTTGTTTCAGTACAAGAATGAATCTATTTGGCTAATGTAAAATGAAACACGAGTTTACTGTTGTTATAATAGAACAAGAATGAAATCAGTCTGTTGATCTGTCACTCTTCATAATGTTAACTCTAACAATATCACTATGTCTCTTAAAATGATAACATATTCATGTTATTTTTTTTTTTAATTTGACAAAGATGACATATTAAAATGGGTTCTTTTGAAATATCTTTCCAATAAAGCTTTGTTATAATAAAAGTTCATCTAGATGTGACAAATTTTTTTAAAAAATGAGGCATTGTACCAGCACATTAGACTATAAAAATCACCCAGAATCTAATAAATTATGACAACTTTGTTAATAAATCACAAAATGTCAACAACAGAAAAGCAAAGAATATTATTAACACAAAAAACTTCTCCGTCAAAACATTCTTTTTTTTCTGCAAAATTTGCAATAAATAAATGGGAGAAAATAAGGAAGCTTTTTTTCCGTTAATAAGATTGTTTAGCATTATATGTCCATGTTATTTTATACGGTCAATATATCTATAATTAATACAAATTAAAGCATCTCATTGTCATGTAAAATTTCAAATAATATCTAATTTTTCACAGCTGAATCCCTGCTAAATTGATTATTCAACATTTAATATGGAAAACAATATCAATATATCGTGTACCATAATGCGCTTCAGTCCCAGTTGTATCAAGAGACTCGAGGGACAAGGCTAGACACATTGCACCAAATCAAACGGCGTATGTAGACTGGAATAACCAGACGCTAGAAATCTGCACTCGCTTGAGACTGCTGGCTTATTTCGCCGAACATACATGTAACTGATTTGAAATTGGAGTAAAAACGGAAACCATTGAATGTAAATCAGTTTATATACATTCATACTACAGTATTATATGTGTTGCGACCTACTCTTGTCAATTTCTAGGACCCAAATGTTAGCGATTTAGCTCCTTTTAGGAATCATCCTTGGTTCACATTTTATTCTTTATTCAAGTTAATCTTAATTCACATTTTGCATACATTCAATCACTTTATTGCTAGAGCAAATTATTTTATTCTTTTTATGCTGACATTAAAGACAGAAAATGAAGCCATCTAAAAGTAGATCTCAGTCATTTTGCATGCTTTTGGACGTTATGGTTGTGTGCACTATTCTCTTTGCGAAAACATCTACTCCCTTTTGCAAAAGTAAGTTTCAATGTTACTTGTCGCTGGAGACAGCAATGGAGGACAGGAAAAAAAATGTCAATTAAAACTAATAGAATTTGATTTGCTTTTGTGTCCAATTATGTATTTACTATTACTTATAATAATTCTATGAAATCATGATCAACTAGTGAACTATTGTATAACTATAAACCAAAAGATAATGGAAAATATATTGACAGTTTCTAGAAACCTGAAAATCAACAAAATATGTCTAAACCTGATAATTAGTTGAATATTTGAAAAAATATGCATCTGATGTGAGATGTGACCACTATTCGAAAATCCAAACAACATATAAATATGACATCAAGATTTAATACCTGATAATTAAATTGAATATTTGAACAAATATGAATCTGATTGAGATGTGACCACTATTCGAAACTCCAAACAACATATAAATATGACATCAAGATTTAATACATGTAGATAAGAATGAATCAAGCCTGTATCCCCAATTCTCTTATTAATAAAACTTACATTACATCATGAAAATACAATAAACAGTGAACTAGAGTGAATAGGCTAGCTGAAAGAATCAATTACTCCAGCTTTACAAGCTGCAATATGGTTAGTGCAATACAATGCCAACTTGACTTTTGAATCAAGTAGAAAACAGTTCTGACCTATTAATACCCACCATATGTGGGTTAAAGTCAGCAGCCTTCACCTTGTTAAATTTGTCAATAATATTTACTCAAGATATAAACATTGAGACTCCAGGCACAAGGCACACAGAAATAAATACTGGATTTACCCCCGGAAATATTTTTAAGAGAGATCTTTATCACAGTACACAATATAATTTAAATAACATTAATCAATGGTTTCAGCTATATCGATTGAATAATATACTCTTGACATTTATCTATTTTCTGTAGCTATATATTCAATAGATTGTAGATTGAGATTATTTGGACAATGGTCCAATCAAGCTTTCAGGAATTACATCTTTCAATATGTTGTTAAATATATCATTTCTGTAATTTCAGTTTATTGACTCCATGATAAAACGGAATAATTAAAGTGGATATGCTATGCCCTCATTAATCACCTATACTACCGGTAATAGTTAAATAACGGTGGGCAGATCATTATCAAATGGTTCACTGACAAACAAGCGATACCGTATCCACCTGTGTCTCAACATTTGAATCATTTTGTGAATTAAATTCGTCACATGCTTCAACAGGCATGATTAGCTTCCGCAGTGACCTGGGAGTGGCCCTGGTCGACATACCCATACGCCACTACCACAGTGAGCTAGAAGACACTTCAAATGATATTCAGTTGCTACTGAATGAATGTCATTGTATTAGGTCTAAGGTACGAGTATCATTAATCACCAATCCCTAATCGGAAATCTAAATCCCTAATTGGAATTTCTCCTACATTGACACAGGGGAATCACTTAATCACTAAAATATGTACAACAATGGATTCAGCTAGCTCGAAAATGTATATTTTGACACCAAACTTGATCCTTATGTAAAATTTGAATTTTTCCGCCCAAACTCATTGCCATCTTGAATAACCCCCAATACTGACTCAGCAGTAACACTTATCACAAACGTGTGGATGGAAATGGATTCAGTTACCCTGAAAACCTATATTTTGATACCAAAATCGATCATATCATGAATGATAATTGGATGGAAGTTGGGATTTACTAGCCAGAACAGATGGCCATTTTGGATTTGACCCATTTGGGCATGGATTTTGGACTGGGACTTTTTTTGGTAATAATATACATGTAGGACAGGTCTAGACCAACCATAAACTGTGGTCAGAATTTCTATTGCTCACACTTACATGTGTATGCTATCTTACCTGGACTATTATTCCACAATATATAAATATATAATATAGAAATATATAATAACCATTCATGTAATTTACGTCAGTTTGGATACTAACTTTACAAACACATCATTATTATTATCATTAAATTCTTGCTTTTAAACTCTATTAAATATATGGATTGGTAACATTATTGCTACTTTATATTCCTTATCAACACCTATAGTATAATATGTAATGCCAATTATTACACAATAGGAGGACTATATACCCATAACCTTTCATGTAATTTATGTCAATTTGATACTAGTTTTACAAAGACATCATTACTTCATGTGGCACACAAAGGTGATTTGGCAATTGATAAGACTTAATGTTAAGAGAAGTAAGATGAATGTTGCTCTACATGAAATTGATTTGCTAACAAAATGATGAATGAGAGAACGTGATTTTTTACTATCTACTTAAAGATACATTTATATGGGAGATCAGATAACGAGTTGGCAGTTCTCACTATAATAGTTAAAAACTAGATAATGTAAAGGGAATTTGCTGAAAATTTCATTCAAATTGATCCACTATGAACCCAAAATTAAGCGATTAAAATTTCCGCCTAGCCTCGATCATCATTACTAAAGTCAGTTCGATAAATAGCATAGTCTCGATTATCCATTTAATCGTGAAGGAAAGTTATGCAGTAAATCGGCTCATAACCCACTAAAGATGGCAGGCTAGCAATGCCATCGAGAGTTGATTATGGTCTAGATAGGTTAATTAATGTCTAATTAATAATTTAGATAACATTTCAGGCCTAAAGAAAGACCTGCAATAGACAGATTTAGCTCTTGCATAATGTATGTTTTAAACTTAAAGTGAAAGGGACACTGTTAGACATTGTAATCTGCCACCACATAGCAACAAAAGCTGAAGTTGTGAGGTTTTAGTGCTCATTAATATTCCAATTGAAGGCAATAGTTGCAAGTGATTTGTCAATGTACATCAGACCATTGTCTCGATAATCAAGACAACTCCAAAGTCCGTTTTACATGGACACGTTTTCATATTGTTTCTACGCTCGTTTTAAAGTCAGTCTAACGCAAATGTAATTGGGCTACTTCCATGTAGAGAGAGAAAATGTGCCCAAAAACAGGCTTATGACTTGGGTAAATATCGCTCAAATTATCCAGACAATAAAATATTCATTTTCAAACATGGTTGGCAGAATTAATTGTTTTGATAGTAACTTATGACATGGGTAAATATCGCTCAAATTATCCAGACAATATAATATTCATTTTCAAACATGGCTGGCAATATTAATTGTTTTGCTAGTAACTTTGTAAGATGCAATATTTTGAAGGTAATGGAAACATTTACAAGACACTGATAACTGATTAAGGGCAACAACCCATGAGATAATTATCAGAAATAACTAACATTCAATAAGCCTAAAGTTCTTCCTAGTACTAACATAAACCATGCACAACTTGGTCATTGTACATATAATGGTAATCAAAAAAACCCTTAAGTGTTCAGTTATCGGAAATCATTGAACACAGTGTATATATCTGAAATCAATCGGATGACAGCTTTAGCCTTTAGAGTGTCCACAATGGGCAGACAAATCAACAAACAGACAAACAGGGGGGGGGGGGGGGTGACAATATACCACATTTCAATATGGACATATAAAAACGACATCTGTATAATAAATATCATGCATATTTATATAGTAGTTGACTCCAGTATTATTTTGAGTTAATTTACCATATATGTACTCACAAATACTTCTACCCATAGTAATATTCAAACACTAAACCTAATACTTACGCATCAATCACTAATTTATTCTCAGGTCTGTTTATTACAACTATTTATGGCTGTTTTAAACAATGATCTCTCAATATTTGTTGTTGCGACATTCAGTCTATAAGCACCAGCTGTGACAGCCTAAATTTCAACAACTGTCTCCAGTCAAACAATTATGCACTTTAACGGCAACCTGATAAAAAAGAAATTAACACATGTATAATAGTAGGTTATCCTGAAAATGATAAACAAATCATCTATTACATTGCAGGCCCAGATAAAAATAGGGGAGGTGAAGGGGTGAGCGATGCACCTTTCATCTTCTCCAGCAAATTACCATGTACCACCGCATCCCCAATGACATCAACACAATAAGTATAATGAACTTCAATTAGTAAACTTATGCATCAATATTGTTTCAGATTACACAAATACGGCTCTATACCCCACAGATGCTCCAATAACAGACAAAGAATAGACAAATACATGTAACTATGAATGTCCTACTTCAAACTCTGCAATACTTCTACTAAGAATACAATAATCTACACATGTGCCTAGATTTATTCTTTACAATACACTCCCACAAGACTATCATAACCTACACAATCTGCAGATAATGTATTAAATACGACATACATGTATGCATTCCAAAAAGAGAGAGAAAAAGCTTAAACATATGTCTTGCACAGAAAAATATGTTTAAAGTGAACTTGCAATAAGCTGTATAATGTGACCTTGAATAGCTCTCATCAAAGGATATGAGTAAAGTGTTGATGAATGGTATGTAGAATAAGCTATATATATATATAAACTTCCGTTACATGATTAAGATGCAAAGAGAAAGGAAATGGAGTAACCATATACACACTTAGACAAATATAAACTGTAAGCAAATGGGAGACAATAACACAACAAAAAAAATTTGGCATTTTTATTCTTGGAAATACTTCAATTGCATAAACTGGGAATGGAATGAGACGTGTAGTTAAAATCAAATTTATTTTCATTATAAACAACATTTTGTTAGTTGGAAGAAACTCAAACTTAAGAAGAGTACTTTTCAATCAAAAACATTTGAATCAATCTGGAATTATTGGGTGAAAAACTGAATGATGAAATTATAACATAAACTTGACCGATACTTAACTTGTGTCGACATTTACCTACTTTACATTATTTATGACCTGATTGTCTGACCTACATGTTCTAACAGGTGGTACTATAACCTTCAACCTTATCTTATACCTAAAGACAGATTAAAGCCATCATAAATAACACTAGAATTAATTGTAGATGTATGCTTAGTCTATTGAGCCCTGTCTTTCAGTCCACAGTTACTTGTAACATGGAAAATCTCTTTTAAAATAACATTCAACTGCCTAAAGTCTATTGCATAAAGGAGATAATCAAATTCAGGGGCAAATATTTTTTTTGAAAATGAAAGATAAGATCAAAGGTTGCGGACTGGACATTGACTTACCCTTCTTCATACAATGTAAGATTTCACTGACTGCAAGTGCTTTACTTTCTGCCAACTAGTCATAATACTCACTACTCGCGATACTATAAGGACAATCAAGTCTACCAATTTATTAGATCGTAGACTCGACTGTCTAATAATATTGTGAAGTACATGTATGTAGTGAATTATAAAATTGCATTGGATTGAAATGATGATCTGTTATGTATGCACTTAAATTAAAATTAGTAATCAAGCTAACAGCTTGATTTTTCAAAACAAAAGTTTAATTATTTAGAGCTTGGCCCATTACCAATCAAAATAACATATCAGATCAACCCAATTCAATATTATGTTTTGGCCCTAAATGAAAGAGGTTTAGCTGCTTTAAATTAACCGGAATGCACTTTTTAGAACATTTACAAGATTGTGAAGTCATTAAATAACTCAGCTGGAAATTATCTCAACTTACTGAATTCACACTATGACTAATGTATATAATTAAATGTTCCATTTAAGCTTAATTATCAAATTTCAATGGTAATTATTCAACTTTTAAAAACATTCACTGAAGTCTGCTATGTGCAAAGTTACCATGGTCCAAAACCCAGTCTATAGGCTTACTACATGAACATGTATACATTTATGTCCATGCAGTTACACGCACCGTACATGTATCTATCCCATGATACTGTATTAATTTTATTGCTCTATGTCTTTTTTTTCATTAGACTACACTGAAATCAAATCTACTGCAGAATTTTCCATATTGACATCTTTCAGTCACTTACTACAGACATGACCTGCTGATTCAGGCCAGTAAAACAGAATATTTTTCTTTGAAATGACTTGTAATTTAGCTTGCCTTTAAAGTAGCTAAGTCTCTAACTCAATATCATCCAAAATCTTCAACATTGAAAACACGATTTATTTGTCAAATTAAATCAACATTCATGTTGTGATCTTACCGGAAAAGATGGGCATTTGATATCCAATATTTAAGACAAAATAAACATTTTACCATTGGTACACGAATCGTGTACCATAGTGCGCTTCAGCCCTAGTTGTATCAAGAGACTCGAGGGACGAGGCTAGAAACATTGCACCAAATCAAACGGCGTATGAAGACTGGAATAACCAGACGCTAGAAATCTGCACTCGCTTGAGACTGCTGGCTTATTTCGCTGAACATAACTGATTTGAAATTTGAGTAAAAACGGAAACCATTGAATGTAAATCAGTTTATATACATTCATATTACAGTATTATATGCGTTGCGACCCACTTTTGTCAATTTCTAGGTCCCAAATGTTAGCGATTTAGCTACTTTAAATTAAATACTACAGAAAGTCAATCAAAAGGTTCAGTCACTGACAGTGGAATAACTAAGTGGGAACTTTAAAAAAAACAGAATGGAAATTTAACGAAAGTATTATTAAATGTAAAGATTGTATACAGTGCTGGCAATAAACAGAAATGACATGGGGACATCTTACTTTTCTGCAGAAACCAGATTAATGAAGATGGGTATACACCCACCATGCAGCGAGCTATGACTATGAGGGAGCATTTGCCTAGACAGTGCTGCTATGACCTACTCTTTTCCAGTAAACTATACAAATGTGTAAACATTTAAAAATTAAGCAAGTATAAAAGTTTTTATCAAAGTAGAAACAACATGTCTTGGATTGTCAACTTATAATACCTGTGTTTATTTATCAGATAATTTTCTTGACAAAAGAAAAACATGTATTAAGTCACAAGTTAATTCACATTTGCTATGGGGTATTTTCATCAAAACATATCAATAACAGTAAAGAAAAATTTTGAAAAACAATTATTAATTCTTAATTAAATTTTCAGTGTATTCTATAAATTCATAACTCAAGAAGAAGTATATTATGCAATAGCCAATGTAACAAAACCAAATTTGTCTGAATGTAAAAAATAATGTTAAAAGATCATGTTAATAATAACGTACATGTAAAGGCAAATATGCAATGTAATCTTAACAATATACCCTTTGTTTTGACTATCCCTATACAAGCAGTCTTTTCCGTAATCATTAATTTATAACGGCAAAGACATACTTTGACCGTCTGCACTCATTAACATTGCATAGACAGGCATATGCATAGAATACTTTGACAACCTTATTTCCTGGTTTTCTGAGCGAACACGTCTCCATCTGTCTGAGTTTTATGACTTGGACCAGACCAACTGAAGGGACATACAATTTGTGAAACAATCATTTGTGTTCAACTTATTTAAATGTTTGGATTTTCCTTTCTACATGTATAAAATTTTTCTTTCTAACGTGTGATTTTCTTGCTTGACCTTCAGACTGTCTTTGATTTAATATTGACACCTAGTGAAGAACAGGATAATGTGGCAGAAACAATATTTCATAGTTCAATGCTGTTTCTTCTTTAAATGGCCAATAGGATGATTTATTCAGTTCTATGGGATGTCTAATTGAAAAGCACTGTAACTTTTACTATCCTTTAAATTTCAAAACCAAATTTTGAAGATCAAAGTTGAGAATGAACAGTTTTACCATACAATGGTATGGACTTTTTGACTACATAATTTGACACACTGATTTTATTTTGAATAATAACTTCGTCAAAATATTGGCCAAAAGAAGTTACTTCCAAGCTGATGCACAGTATATAATTTTGTTTGATGGTTGTGAAAATTTTATATTACATACATGTATTGGGTATTCCATGTGGTACATTTTGATTTGATGATATATTTGGACTAAAAACATATAAAAATAGGTTGCCAGGCAACGAAACATGCGCCCACAGCAACTATATCGTCCGGGCAGTCAACAAGAGTTGTCACATATTTTTACTTTTTTCGGTAATGAAACATTTATAATACATTAAAATCTGATTAAGAGTAACAACTCATTAAGTAATTATCAGAAAACCATTAGAATTTGTTTGGTTTTTATAAAGTTCTGCCCATGCTAACATTTAGTATACAAAACTTTTAACATCATGGATTTGGCTGTTCAAGTTATAAAGATTCTTGAAAATCAATATACTTGTTCGTCTCAAGATCTCAAACACTGTGTATAAATTTATTAGCCTCTAGAGTGTCCACAAGATTTTTCAAAGTGATCAAGGGCCATAACTCTGGCAGTAATTATCGGAAATCGCTGAAAATCAATAGGCTTCTTTGTCTCATGACCTTATACACTGTGTATAAATTTAAAGTCAATTGGATATTAACTTTGACCTCTAGAGCATCCACAAGGTTTTTTTAAGTGATCAAGGGCCATAACTCTGGCAGTAATTATCGAAAATCGTTGAAAATCAATAGGCTTCTTTGTCTCATGACCTTAAACACTGTGTATAAATTTAAAGTTAATCGAATATTAACTTTGACCTCTAGAGCGTCCACAAGATTTTTTGAAGTGATCAAGGGCCATAACTCCAACAGTAATTATCTAAAATCGCTGAAAATCAATAGGCTTCTTTGTCTCAAGACCCTAAACACTTATATAAATTTAAAGTCAATCAGATATTAACTTAAGCCTATAGAGTGTCCACAAGCAATTGTGGACGCTGGACCGACGGACGGGGGCGACAACAATATACGACCACATTTCAATGTGGGCGTATAAAAACTAATTGATCTATCAAAAGTTTGCTTCAAATCTCTCGGAAAACAGAATTATCTCTAAGAAAACTATCCCACACAACGAGAATCTAATTTTA